AAGTGTTGAAGTGCTTGTACAGTAGGGCTACGATGGCTATCCGAGTACAGAACCAGAGTACGAAACCTATCCAATTGCAGAGAGGTGTAAGACAGGGTGACGTCATATCCCCGAAACTCTTTACCGCTGCATTGGAAGATGTTTTCAAGCTTCTGGACTGGAAAGGATCAACATCAATGGCGAGTACATCACTCACCTTCGATTTGCCGACGATATAGTCCTTATGGCTGAATCGCTGGAGGACCTAAGCACTATGCTCAATGACCTCAATAGTGTTTCCCAACGGATAGGTCTTAAGATGAACATGGACAAATCAAAGATCATGTTTAATGTCCATGTCACACCTATGCCGGTAGTTGTTGGGAACACTAAGCTCGAAGTTGTTGACGAGTATGTTTACCTGGGACAAATAGTCCGACTAGGTAAGTCCAACTTCAACCGAGAGGTCAATCGACGGATTCAACTCGGTTGGGCAGCGTTCGGGAAATTACGGCACGTCTTGTCGTCAGGTATACCTCAAAACTTGAAAATGAGACTGTACACCCAGTGCGTGTTGCCAGTGATGACATACGGAACTGAGACGTGGTCCTTCACTGCTGGCCGGATGAGGAAGCTCAAGGTCGCTCAGCGGGCTATGGAGAGGGCTATGCTCGGAGTTTCTCTGCGTGATAAACTCAGAAATGAGGATATCCGCAGTAGAACCAGAGTGACCGACATAGCCCAACGGATTAGTAAGCTGAAGTGGCAATGGGCCGGCCATATACTTAGCTCAAAGAACCGACAACCGATGGGGAAGAAAGATTCTCGAGTGGCAGCCTCGTACCGGCAGGCGAAGTGTAGGGCGTCCCCCCACTAGATGGAGTGACGACCTGGTAAGATATGCAGGAAGTCGATGGATGCAGGTGGCTCAGGACCGTGCTTTGTGGCATTCTTTAGGGGAGGCCTATGTTCAGCAGTGGACTTGTGAAGGGCTGTAATGATGATAATGATGATGATAGATAAAATTTATGCGTCCCACTGCTGGGCACAAGCTTTTATTTATTTTGTGGCACAGGCCTCCCCTCACATCTGAGAAGCTTAATACGTTTTAATGTTTTTCTTAATCAGGTGAATAATATTTACCGCTGCCACGAGATTTTATATTAGAGTACCTAATTGACGCGAAATACAATTAGTAGTATAAATAACAAATTCGTTGTTGTTGTTGCAGTCGATGATAACCTTAACATCCGCAGTTGGTTCAAGTATGCAGATATCACAATATTACGATGAAATTACTTCACACTAACTATTAAAAATACATCCATAATTGTACGTATTTCTTCACTTTGTAGACATTTATATAACAAGTAGGTACGCAATACAATCAAATTAATGATAACAATGCTCTCAGGTCGTGGTCTCGTGGTGCAAGCTTCTGTGATAACATCGCTCTCTCCCGTATGACCTGCGTCTTGTAAGTTCCTGAGCACGTTATAATATTATTTCACACATAAATCTCATTATAATAATGTGAACACGGTAAATGTGTTTATTGTATGTACCTGTTTAACATCGTCTTGAAAATAATGATTAAACTAAACGAACCATTATTTCATATTTATTTATTGAACCATAAAGGTTTCATCTTTTAACTTACATATTTCCAAAAAAAATTCTTAAAATATTTATTTTCGTTTCGGTAGGTTTCTCAGTGAAAATTTGTTTTTTTTTTACTTTCCGTTTAAAAGTTCATAGTCTCATTTTGGGATGTCCAAATTTCAATTCATCTCCACATTTTTAGCCAATTTCAAAAAAAGAGAAGTTTCTCATTCGACTGAAAATTGTGTGTATCGCTACTCGATATCTCCATCAGTTCTGAACCGATTTTGATAACTATTTTCTTATTAAATATCTTATACTTCAGGGGTGACCACCCGTATAAATTTGCCGAAAAAAATGCACCCCTAAGGTTGACAAATAGTAGATGAATTTTTTAATGTTACTATTTAGACGACATTATAGGTGTTGTTACCTTGAGCTTGTGATATTCCTTAATCCAAAACAAGTTTCAAAAGGGTCAAAATATCAAACTACTTATTAATTTTACTTTTCTGCCTACTTCAAAAAGGAGACTTTACTCAATTCGACTGTATGTTTTTTTTATTTGTATTGCCCCATAACTTTTTACTTGGTGAACCGATTTCGATGATTCTTTTTTTATATTGAAAGCTAGTGCTTGTCATGTGGGCCCATATGAATTTGATGAAGGTCAAACAAATAGTTTTTGAGTTATTCTTAATAATTTATATTGAAGTCGGCTGTACAAAATTTTTAATCTATGTACTTCTACTGGATTTATGTATAGTATACCTGTGCGTATAAGTATATATTTTTGTCGACGACAATTTTACTCAGCGTTATAATTACCTCATTATGTCGTTATAATACCTATATAAAATAAACAACAACAAGTTAATTCCCAGGCCAAAGCTACGTATTTTAATATTTTTGAATTTTGTGTTTATTGTTCTGAATGTGAATGAATGTATTAGGTAAGATGATATCTATATATCACGATACCATGATAATATTGTAAAGTCTTTATTTCAATTGATTTTTAACATTTTCAATTGTGGTACATTATACTATAAATGACCTCTCAAACAGTTTTGGGTAAATACTTTATACTTTAGATAGATACACGTAACTTTATGACTTTTGTTCGAATTTTCTATCTTTTACCTTTCTTAAACTTGATGAACTTTTATCTTTTGTTTCATGACCTAAAGTTATAAATACTTTATAAGTGAAGAGACTAGACTTAAATTTGTGGGCCATAAACAAAAAATTGGACTTGTGATAAAGTTGACATTTGTCTGAGCAAAAGATTCCCAATATGTATTACTTAAGCAAGCATTCGGTAATGGACCGTGATGATGACAATACGTCAGTTATATCTTTATCTGACGTAATAACAATCTGACACGATTCTGAAACAGATGGGGAGATAATACCTCAAAACTTGATGATAACAACGTACCCAGTACATCTGGGAGTATATCAGCAGTGGATTTAGAGAAGAAAAATCGGACAATATGGTATGGGAGTTTTGTAAACCTGAAGAGCCACCTAACTTCGAATTTACCGCTGGGTACCTAACAAGCATGAGCTGCATCAACAAAGAAGTATTGGCATCCTGAGACCATTTTAATTACATTGATATTTTAAAGTTGACACATCGTCAGCGCCCGCTTACGTTATACCCGGAACACAGAATAGATAAACATCAAAATCACCCCATTCAGAAAAGAAGCCATTCGAGATATGCTTCGCAAATACGTATATCAGGCCTGGATATTCTATTGGTGTATGGAACACCACGAGAACTAATTTCTACGGGCACATGCTAATTATGAATATGACTGGAAACCCTCCTAAAAAGACTGAAGGATGCTATAAAGTTTACGGTCGGAAAGGGATACTTGTAGAAGGGAAACGCAAGTTTATGTCCCACAAACAAGCAATATGGGTTTCGTACATAAAATGCTACCATGTCTTGCATGCTAAAACTCCATTATATATTTTTAACATTTTGTTTCATTTTCATCGTAAACTGTAAGATTTTTTTTGTAATAAATATAAAATTACAATAATATTTATTTCCAACTAAATTACAAAAAAAAAGATCTCTACTTTGATCGTTACATCTCATGAAACGGAAAGTGTTAAAGAACTCAGGTACCAGTACAACCGTGGAGGCCAGTAGTATTTAAATCTACAGCAAAATGTGAGTAAACGTGGTTCCTAACGAAGGAATAAGTGTGTATTCTAGAAGACACACACAGCCTCATAGAACCGCTTCGAGTGTATTCTTAAAGGATACACTTGGCATGCAATGTCTTCATATATTCCAGAAAACTCGAATAACTTAAAATTATTTAGAAGAATTGGCAAATTAAAAACGGCGTTCTTTGGGTGTAGGCTTTCAGCAGTAAACTTGTGAAGGACTGTAGTGACGATGATCATGATGTTACAAGGGAATTAAATAAAATTCACAGTGAGGGGTGTGAGAAGACCCAATCACGTTAAATCCTACGAGTATTTCATATTATTTTTAATAACTTCTTTAAAAGCCAGAGTTCAAAGCTATCTATAGGTATATACTATAATAAAACTTTAACACGACGTCTGTCTGAACACGCATCACGCAAAAACCTGTGAACCGATTTAGATGGCACCTTTACTGGCAGATAGCTGATGTTATAAGGAGTAACTTATGCTACTTTTATTTTAGGAAAAAATTAGGGTTTCGCGCAAATAAATTAAAACCCATGAAATCCAATCGCAATAAATTTAACTCGGGCAGTCGCGGGGAACAGCTAGTTATTACATACAATTATACTCATAAGTAAGCCACAGTTTGTTGTGTTAGTTAGTAGATCAGGGAATAAGCCCTTGCCGTAAATTTCAAAGTACGCAACCAACACGAGCTCGAACCCCAAATTGTTAATTGTAACTTATAATGCTTCATTTACCAAATGTACGACGAAAAAGAAAACATCATATGCAGGTTGCGTTTGTAAATATAAAAAAAAATTATGGAGGGCAAAAGTTATTTCATTTGTTATTTTGCTAAGCCCGTGGCTTTCGATAAATAACTAAATCTAAAGGTTTGCAAAAGCAATGTGCCGCGGACCAATATTTATTTTTGATAGAAACAAACTTTAATTAAGAAAACCTAATCCCATCATAAATTCATCTGACCTAGTATTCTTTTTGTCATCTTTTTTTTTTCTTGTTAATACTTTAACCCTTGTTTAATTCAGTTACCTAACTCAAATTATAAAACAGATCCATACCGCTCCAAAAAGTTAACTATAAACTGAAAATCTTAACGAACTTAAATAATTATTAAAATTTCAGTACACAATGACGTAAACAACTAAATGAGTTGTTTTGAATGACATATCTCTTTGATCATCTCGTAGATGTTAGCAGGAGGTGGTTTTCTTAATTACCTGTAATATGAGATGCAACGGTCCGCTCACTCTGCATACCGGTGGCGGAGATTCATATCCCCAAAGGCAGTTCCAGGGCATTTTTCTCTCATAATATTAGAGAACTAAAGTTATTATTTATTTTTTTGGTTACACACACGGTTGCACATAATAATTGCATTACATTGTTTATAATTATGAAGAATATTGTGAATTCAAATTTAAATCCGAAATTGGTATAATTTTAGTTAATGGTATTATTTCTTCATTCAAAAAATTAAAAACAATTCACCTAAACTAGTAGAGTAGCACGATAGGTGAACGAGCGACCTACAACACGTCCGCCTCACGACTGAGGTGCGCACAGCTGACGATTTACTCTCATCCCTAACCCTAATCGCGGATTCTATACAATATTCTTTTATTACAAAACCCCCAGCCTTAACGGAAAGAAAAAAATTTTATCTCTAAATATAAAGCAAATAAGCAGCAAGTACCTATAAACAAAACTATTGCTAAATCGCCCTTTAAGTAATTGTTATAAAATTTAATGGTTTCGACTGTACTTGTCTATTTGATATGAACATCCTTAATCATAGAAGTTAATTGAAATAAAAAGGAGCGCGAATTACTTTTCGCTCATTTTTAAATTATGACTAAGAAAGATTTGCCGTGTAGTGGCGGCGTTACAGTATACTCGTATCCACTACCCGGTATCATCAGGTGGGAATCGTGAGAGGCGGCAGAGGGAAACTGAAACAGCGAACTAAATGAGCAGCATCATCTTCCTAATACCAACTGTAAATAATAAAAAACCAGCGGTTACCAACCCACCTGCCAAACGAGACAACTCTATGCCAAAGTCCAACCTATGTTCAGCAGTGGACTTTAGACATGCTTTAATGAATAAATTAATGTATAATAAACTAAGAAACATACTAAAATGTAGTTTTTAAATATTAAGCAGTTGACTTATTACAATTACAATGAAAAAAGAACAAACAAAATTCTAGAATTTCTCCTTAGTTGAAAAGTGGCCCATTTAAAACAATTACGAAATATTTAATTCATACTTTCGAAGACTAGATAAGGTATGTGTACCTCATGTAAGACAACGGTCAACGGCCTACGACTACTAACTTAAGAAGACATTGGTTTAAATCGGTGTAACACTCGTCTGCTTAATATAAGTACGTGTAATGTTACTATATTTACATTATATATTAATTTGGAGTGAGAAATTTTTGATTACCTCGTTGGTCTCGTGGTTGCAAACGCGACTGCTGAGGTCACGGGTTAGAATCCCAGGTCGGGCCAAAAAAATATCAGTTATTGAGTTTTTCCATCAAGAAATTCTTAGTAGCTGCCCGGAATCAGGAATTTGGCGGTGTCTCTCACACCCGTGCCTCGGAAAACACGTAAAGCCGTGGTCCTGCGGCTGATATCTCTCGTGTCGGTTTACCGTCCCATCGGACTATGAGAGTGAGGGAATAGAGAGTAGTGCACCTGTCCTTGCGCATACACATGGGCACTATAACCCTGTCCAGCGCCGATGGCTAGTCTCCGTTGAGGCTGGCCGCCGTGACCGGTATTCGGTCTGGAGGACATTATATTATATTAATTTAAAGAGCACGACAAATAAATAAGACCAATATGTAAATGCTTGAGATGGAATGGTTGATGGATGGAAAAACCGTTTTGCTGTCTAGGAGTTCGAAGCATTACATAGCTTATTTTGTGCAGCTTAGTAGTAATGCATCTACTCTTTGTTTCAATTTGAAGAGTCAGAGTGCCGGTATAATTACAAGCTATGAAACTCTTCAGGAGTGAAGGTGATAACCCACATATATATCCGTTATCCAGAATATGCAGAAGCCTCTAACTATCAAATGGTCTTTAAATATTTTCGATATTGTTTTTAAATTACTTTGAAATATTGTATCGTCTTTTTGCTCCCTCATTTAGAGGGTATTGGGAGGTAATAGCAGATACAATTTTTTACGTCCTAACGTAACGTTTAAAATAATTATAGCGAGTCAGTAAGCACTCTTAGGAATAAAGGCGTGCAATGTGACATCCGGTTTACAAATAATACTTTTTAAATAATGCATTTAAATATCTGAATAATCACTTCCTAACTACCAAACACTTCCTAAGCTTTAGATTTAAAAAATATTTTCTTTTTTCTTTTAAAAATAAATTTAAGACAGTAGCACCTTCTATGACTTATATTTATTATACTTTATTTCCTTCTTCAACAACACATAAGTCCATATGGGTCTAGCTGAAATTGATCTCTCCCGGAAGGAAGGAAAGAAATTGCCATATTCGCCACGCTCGGTGGGCAAATTGGTGATCGCACTTTGTCATTTTAACACTGCCTCTTGTCGCCTGTCTGAGTACGAGTATCCTACATATGGCATAAACGAAATAGTTATACATACCATCGTTTATAGGAAACAATAAGTTTTTCTATAGTTGCTTCTTAAATAGAACAATTATATTAGAATTTTATTATTACATAATGCGCCATAAACTGAGCGTGAATTTAACAAAGGTTTAATTAAAAACATTGGCCATCTCAATTCCACGACGGACTTACTACAATAGTTCACCCGCTCTAATTCGCTATAAGTTGAATGGTAATACCGCCAAAATGCATTAAGTTCACCCAATTTTTATTTAATTATTTCTTGGCAAAACAACAAAGAGAAAATAAAATTGCTTCATGAAAAATTAAAAATCAATTATGAATACTAAACATAACAGTACGTGTAGATACATCTATGGAGTATTCCATAAACAGATGTCACTTAGATATTCACCACCCACTACACGCACATCACGTTTTTATGGAGCGGCATATCATTAACATGCATACAGCACTCTAAATCCATTAAACACAATCAGGAATATTATGAACTAAAAACCAGCATTATCTGACGATTGTCCCAACACAATTTTTGAATCTAACAGGCACCGTTGCGTTCATTTATAATTTTTAAAATGGGTCAGTTCACTATAGATATCTTAATATTCTTGTTAGTAACTGTAATAGCTTACTGTTAATAATCATAATGACAAGATCATAGAACATACCGTGTGACAAATGTTTGTATAATTCATACATTACACTATAATCCTTTTACACACGCGCTATGAACTATTACAGGCTGATGATGCTAAAAATTTGGTATTGTACCTAAAAACAAAGTACCTACCTAATGTAATAGATAATATTAAAACCCAAAAATATATTACACCGCAACATTACAAATTTACAACCGTTTTCGTCTCCAGTGTCTTAAATTAATTCCTATTTAGGGTTCCGTGACCAAATGGCAAAAAAACGGAACCCTTATGGATTTGTCATGTCTGTTTGTCTGTCCGTTCGTATATCACAGCCACTTTTTTCCGAAACTGTAAGATCTATGTTGTTGAAACTTGGTAAGTAGATTCTAGTAGTATTCTGTGAACCGCATTAAGATTTTCACACAAAAATAGAAAAAGAACAATAAATTTTGGGGGTTCCCCATACTTAGAACTGAAACTCTAAAAAAATTTTTTTCATCAAACCCATACGTGTGGGATATCTGTGGATAGGTCTTCAAAAATTATAGTGAGGTTTCTAATATCATTTTTTTCTAAACTGAATAGTTTGCGCGAGAGACACTTCCAAAGTGGTAAAATGTGTCCCCCCCCCCTCCCCTGTAACTTCTAAAATAAGAGAATGATAAAACTAAAAAAACATATGATGTACATTACCATGTAAACTTCCACTGAAAATTGGTTTAAACGAGATCTAGTAAGTAGTTTTTTTTAATACGTCATAAATCGTAAACCGCAATTTACCTTTCATTCAATCAACTCAAATATAAAAATAAAAGTCAACATTTAATTTCATAAACATAAAAACCGTGAACTATTATTTTCTAATAATAAATCTATAAAAGGTCCATAAGCAAATAATAATGTTACTTGCTGTTACGGAACCCTTCATGGGCGAGTCCGACTCGCACTTGGCCGCTTTTTTTCGTTTTTGCATTTGTCATCATTACTGTCTATCAAGATCTACTACTAACATAGAGCTCCTCATGGAGGTAATATTTGATATAGTGGCCATGCTTGGCAGGCAGATCGACAATCGCAGTTTCTTATTAATTATTTCTTAGGAAGATGCTGCTGCCCGCCACCCGTCAGTTTCCCTCTGTCACGTGATTCGCCTCGCCACGGGATGTTATGTGGTAATGAATTTTCTTGCACCGCCACTACACGGTTATGTTTTTGCTTTGTTTTAAATTTATCATCGTCATCACCATTTTTACAGCACAGCATAATTCCACTGCAGGACATAGGCCTCCCCCAAGGAATGCCATAAAGCACGGTCCTGAGCCATTTTGCATCTATCGACTTATTGCATCTCTTACCACGTCGTCAGTCCATCTAGTGGGGGGCAAGTAACTAAGTCACTTGAATATATTATACTGATGAAATATTCTGATTTGGAAAACTTAGTGATTCCACGATTTTTTATATAATATATGAATTTGATATGAAACCTTGGGACATTAACAGACGCGGTAATCTAATCGGGCATATTATGTATGCGCATATATAGAAAATTTTAATTTTTTTTTACACAATAGGTAAGAGTTTCATTTACTTAATTGCCTCGTGATCATTAATAACATTTCAGTCACATTGCAGCCTAATCATAAAGGTTCGATATTAGGATTACTTTTTTTAATGAGACTATAATCAACTATAGTGATATTATAGAAAGATCATGTCCATTTTGTCAATATTTTCTGTATCCTCATTTACAAACACTTTTAAAAACACGAACCTGTATGAATATTTGAAGAGGTGGAGTAACCACAACTGCGTGATTTCTTGACCAAGGACAATTCCAGGACATTGTTCTGACGACCACAATCTTACTTGTATTTTAATGCACTCATTTATAATATTTCACTATATGGATTAGTTTATATATAAAATATGATAAAAATGTATCTTTCAAAAGTCATATGAATCCACCAGTTAAACTGCACATCAAATTATTCGTATAGCTCTTTGGTTTATTAAGATAGACGCGGGAT